TGCTTTTTTAATGCATTCATTTTTTTCGCATCCTGAGAAAACTAATAAGTATTTTTGAAAAATTTAAACGCAGAATGAAATATTAGATTATTGCCGAAGGTCGAAAGTCCCTGAAAACCTCTATTAGGGTTTATTTAAATAAGGTAGATAGGGGTAAAAAAAAAGAAAATTGAGTGGAATTTTAATTTCAAAAGATTTCATATCATATTCAAAAGAAACCTTTTGTTTATTTTAAAGAACTTTCGGCGCTCGTTAATAATGTAATCTTTTAATCTGCGTTTAAATTTTTCAAAAATATTTATGAGGATTTTAGGTTTTTCAGGATTCGAAAAAAATTAATGCATTTAAATATCATTGCAAGCAAATTTTGCGCTTTTTAATACAATATATCATGCAAAAAGTTATTATTATTATTCTAATTATCAACTACAATTTATAAAAAGGTATGAGTAAGAAGACAGAATAATATCTATGTAAATATATGTATTAAACTGTGTCTTGCAGTCAACTTATATTCGATATTCTACTCAATAATATATACAATCTTACTACTGAAAAACAACATACTTACGCCAATAATACGATAAACACTCGACTTAAAAAAGTAACATATTCCTACGTGAAAGTATTTAAAGCATACTTGCATACCGATGTCACGAAAGTATAATAAACTCCGGCATTTATAGTAGTAGGAAACAGATGAAAAAGGAAGATCAAGTGAAATATTTTACACATAACTCATACAAAAATACTCAATTTATAAATAATACAAAATACGGCAAAAAGCAATAGGATCAATGCACTTTCGACTAAAAATAAACATTTTTAAACATCAGGTGTATTTTAAATAACAATAAAAGATAATGTTATCGATATAAAGGTTGTTGTTGGATTTAAATATGTAGCGAAAGTTTAAAATACGAGCTCTAACAACTATATGTTGGAACAGGCAGTTATTTTTCGAATATAATGCCAATTTACTGAAATTCTTTGATTTATTTTTTTTTTAATTGTAAATATGAAATTAACAAACATTTTTTATGATGTATGGAATTATTTTTGCGGCTTAATTATATATTTTATATTGATTACTATTTAATTCATTGTGTGATAATCGAAAACTGCTGACAACTAAATGTTGGAACATTTTTTGTTTTTCCTCACGTTTTTTAAATTTTATCAGCCTATTCGCTGTGAGCCGATGAGTAGAGGGGATTTGACAGTTTTCACTAACGCTGTTAGTGGCAGTTTTGTGCATTTAACTTGTAAACATTCAAATAATGGTGCAAAAGGATTTTTCAAAAAGAAAAATATATGATACATGTAAAAATACTGGGTACAACAGTCATTGTAAATTTTATTCATTTCCTGTTGCCAAGCATAAAATAGTTCAAAGAGAAAAATGGATTATTGCTATTAATGAGAAAAATAAGTAAATGACCTATAATGCAAACATGATATTTGTATGGTGTAAAATTAAAAAGCTATTATATTCCGAAACATTGCGTACATGCCCTGCATCAACTAAACCTTTTCCCTTTTTTGGTGTAGCTGGTTGAAATGGGATATCATGTGATATAGACTTAAAACCAGTATAATGTTTAATATCCATTTTGATAAAATTAAAAAAAATTTAAGAGGTGGAGGCCATAAAACGAAAGAAGAAGAAGAAAAACTAAAGAAATTGATATCTAAGCACTAAGGCCTACGCACACAAAAAAATAACTGAACAAAAACAGAATAAAAATGTAAAATAAAAACAAGAATTACAAAATTAAGGTAACCTTTAACTAAAGAATATAGACGTTTTAAGCGTCTATAACCTTAAATATTTGCTTTAACCATTAAATATTTTTATATAAACTTCTTCTTTTTCTCAATGACCTGTTTCGTAAGTAGTCATCCAGTCGCAAGAACTTATATCTTAAATATTATAATTATAATGAATAAAATAACAAGGCGTAATTACTTTTACTATTAATTCTGTGTATTCGTTCATTAATCAGTTTACCATAATATTTCAGTTCATTATTTTGTATTTTTAAATAAATATCTATTTTTCTCGTTTTTTCATATTTCATTTACACAGATTTTACAAGAAAAGTACAAGTTTCAAACCGCGAGAGAGCGCTACCGGCGAAAGCACCTTAGCGCAAAAAAGCTTTGAAATCAAACATACGAGTAGGTTGTACCATTATAGTTGTTCTACTATTATATTATTTATCTATGGGTTGTACGTTGTCAACAATAATTGTCACGCGTCATTTGAATAAGAATCAAAAACCGTCACTGTTTTTACAAGTAAAATATAATAACATGATACTATGATAGTCATAGTATCATGTATAATAATGGCACGTGGAAAACCTGCTGATCCAAAAGTTCGAGAAATTATTATTCATCATTACCATAAAGGGAAAACAATGCGTGAACTTTCCAGTGAATTGACTGTATACCATAGAGAAATAAAAATAAGCTGTATACTCAGTTCGCTATTCCCAGTCCGAACTGTCTAGTAAATTTAGTAATTTTTTTTGCAAAGTTAGTTACTTTTTGACAGATTAGAAGTGGCTGGAATTACTATACAACCAAACACACGTGCTCATAGCTTATTTCATTTAAGCATTTCATCGACCTTTTTTGCAAACTTATACCTACTATTAGGTATTCTATTATTAACAAATCGAATTCAAATATAAGCCGCCGTGCCCCCTAAGACTTGCGAAGCAAACAGCTTGATGAATGCATCGGCAAGGGAGTCTAAAAATTGCACTCCAAATGCCGTTCATCATGGCCTATATTCGTAGTGAATTCGATTTCTGGTACTCCAAATGAAGCAAATAAACAAAAATTTGTTAGTGTTAATTTTTTATTAGAAACTCTTATAAATCAGATTATTGTCAAAAGTAATATAAATATTTATTTTTTTTATTATTAAATTAATGCCTCGACAACTAAGATCATTGGCATGGTGCAGTCAGGTACCTAGTGTAGTGTGTGTGTGTGTGTGTGTGTGTGTGTGTGTGTGTGTGTGTGTGTGTGTGTTTGTGTGTGTGTGTGTGTGTGTGTGAGTGTGTGTGTGTGTGTGTGTAGAGTAATTGTCTTGATACTTAGCAAAGTCGACGTCATTGTCTTTACTAAGAGACGCTAATTGTATCCGAACGTCTGCGGTCCCTCCGGTGAGTACCGATCGCAAAAGGATAGAAATTATTTTCATTCATTAATTTTTAATAAACGAAAATTTCTCCACCCAGATGAGATTCGAACTCACGACCTTTAGGTTTAAAGGTAGGCGCTCTTACCACTGAGCCACAGAGGGCGTTAGTATAAATATTAAAATTTACTTTGAATGAAATATGGAAAAACAATTCCTTTCCTTTAAAATACATAAATGAACTTTGCATGTTTGACAAAATATGTGTCCTGCTCTTACACCCTCATTTTAGCATCTTGAGGGTTCCTCTTTGTCATGATACTATGGAAGATGATGGTGTCCATCAAATCTAAGGTCGTTTATAGGCCTTATTTCAGTTTTTTTCTTTTTGGAGGGACCTGGATCCTTGAAGCTTTTTGAAGGCCTGCCTCTTTTAGGAGCATGTCTACTGCAGATTAAATTTTGGGCCACTTCTTGGCGAAAAGCTAACAAATCAAGGATTTCTTTCTTGTTTACTCCCAAAAGAACAGCTTGAGTGCGATACTCAAGCCATGGATTTACCAAGGCTAAATAAATGGCAAGAGTGCTCTCTCTATCCAATATGGATCCCAATAAAATCTTGATTTCATCAAAGTTTATCGGTGGAAATCTAGCAATATTTTTTTTGTGCAGCATATAAATTTGTCATATCAGCCATTTGTTGTAGTATCGCATCAGGAATATATTTGGTGAAGAATTCAACTGGTGGTGGTAAATCTAGAACAGGGGTAGTCGGAACGGTTGAATGTCAATGAATATTTCTTTTTTCGTATTGTACATTTTGCCCTTGTATCCAATTTATTTTTTATTTTACTCCATGTTCTTTCTCAAAATGTATTTGGATCCTTTTCAACTCATCTTTGTCATTTTCCCCCATATTTTCATCATTTGCAATTAGCTCCAACCTTTCTTCTTCATCTGCCAAATCTACATCTTTTGTTATTTTGAGGGCTTGTTCAATATTTTGGTAGGATGTTTCTAATTTATCTTCTGTTGCATCCTTCGTTGGCGCATATAAGTACCTGAATTAAATTTAGTTTTGTGTGATAAGTACTTATTTGTAAGAGCATTTCTTTCTGGATTGAAATCGCTGACTGCTCTGTTGGTTTCTTTATCGATAATTGCTACTCTTCATCTATATTGGTTTCAATGGTTCCCGAGTAATATCAGGTACCAGTTTTTGTTGAGAGGTATCCTAAGTTAAAGTAGAGTAAATTTTTATTTGCATAAACTGTTGTAGATACATAATTGAACAAATAACGTCGTAGTAGGAGTTAGGCCACCATGTCTAGCTTACTCTTAGTATATTTATATTCAGTCTACTCATTTCCTGAAGAATGTTATGCATTTTATCTGGTTGATCATGCTTTTGATGTCAACATACCTATTTTTGCGTTGGATAATTTTATTATGTTTCTTTTTTCCTTATTTGGCAAGCAGTTCTGGAGTTAACGACCTGGTAGTCCCTGTAGGATGTAGGATTCCGATTATCAGTGTCTTTTCTTTCTTTTAGTACTCATTGCCATGATGATTTTACTGAAGATATCTAATGAAATCTTTAATGCAGTGGTTTCTCCTTGCCTTCACCAAAAGGGTGCCCTACCACTTACCAACTCATCCACTTGAAGTTGTTGGTCAGTAAGTGGGAGATTACTTACACTGGCAATCACTTGGTGAATGACTAGCCACTCTGGTAGAACAAATTAGAGAGTGGGGGGATACATTTAGGGGTGTGCGAGTGTAGTTAGCACATAATTAAATAATTAATGGTCTAAACACAGGTTTTTTAATAAATAATAATCAGAAAGACTTGTCATTTTATATATTTAAATGTTCCTTGATTATAAAAATGTACAATAGAATCTTATATACAACTCATAATTCGACGATTTCTTACTAAATGTGTTTTATACATCGTATATGCAGTATGAGGTAATACTTTTTACAAAGCTCAGTCATTTTCCTTGTAAGCTGCGTTACATTTCTTCTTGATTCCTAGGTGGTCTTAAATACGAATTTCTTTTTATACAATCCACTAACCAACGAATACCTTCATCAACTCCCTCTCTGAAAAAAGATAAAAAAAGTTAAAAATATGTTGCATGTAATTGAATATAAAATAATATAATAATAATAACTTCACAATAAGTATTTTTGTTTGTTATTAAAAAATTTAATTCTTATTTGAGGTTAAAATTTAATCATGAACTATAAACCACTAGCTTACCCAGTTAAAGCTGAAACCGGCATAACCATACAATCTCTTTTTCCAATGAGATGTGCATTTTTATTAAATATTGGTTTTACTTCTCGTACTCCCATGCATTCTGGTATATCTTGTTTATTTGCTAATACTAATAGTGGAATGCCTTTTAAATATTCACTGGCTATCATTTTATCTAAAAACAAAAAAGGAATTTACAAAAAATAAATAATTATTTAAATCAAAGTAAAATTCCTCAACTTTAAGCGATTCTAACATTACATTATCTACTCTAAAATGCCAAGTATAAGAATTATGATAATTCTTATACTTGGCATCATTGGTAAGAGATAGATAAAGGAACACATTTCTGCTATTTGGTGTATTAATAACATATATTTATTTAAACATGTGAGGTGAATTAAACAAGCTACCTGGACATCATTAGTAGCATTTGACTAAAGCACATCTGGTTGATTAGTGAGTCACTATGTACAAGCTAGTGCTGGAGTATGAACAACAAATTTTTCCACTCAAAGACAGTGATGACTATAGAGTTTATCAGAAGATCCTGGTAGTATATATACTTCTTCTTCTTCTTCACTGGCTTTACAACCCAGGGTAAGTCTTCTCCGCATCCACTATCGCCCTCCATCCTCTGCGATCTTGCGTTTCTATTTTCCATTGTTGTACCCCAATTCTAGATAAACCAGCTTCAACATTATCCTTCCATCTTTTTCTCGGTCGGCCTACTAAGGGGTCCCCCTGCCAAGTCCTGAATTTATACCAAATGGCATCAATGTTGTGCTTCCCATCTTTACTTGTACATATGGGTCTTGACGCCCATTTGTGTTAATTCAACTAATTTTTTTGGTATTCCCATTTCTAACATTACTATCCACAATTTGCTTCTTTTTATGGAATCATATGCTTGCTGGAAATCTATGAAAATTTAGTGCACATCGCAGTTGAATTCTCCGTTTTTCTCTAATATTTGTGGGATGGTAAATATCTGATCTATGGTTGACCTTTCAGCATGAAAGCCCCATTGGTAGTCGCCTAGAATATCTTCCGAATATGGTGTGAGTCTCTTTAGCAAGATAATTGATAATTGATAGATTCAATTTTTATATAATGTGCTAATGTTATATGCCTCTATAGTTTTGGAATTGTTCTTTGTTTCCTTTCTTATATATGGGAATTATAACGCCTCCATTCCATTCTCTAGGCATTTTCTTTGCTACTCTCAAAATTATGTCATAAAATTTTTGGTGTAAAAGGTGTAAAGGTAGTATATATATACACCCCCATACAAAATTTGATAGTTATTATTTTCTTAAAAAAAAACCTTTGTTGAAGGTGAGGGTTGGTCTTCTTGATGATTGAAGCTAGTATGCGACTTTTAAGCAAGATTACACCACTTCCTCTAATTTTTGTTCCAATCTACACATATGTCTTAGTATGAAATATATTGTAATTACTACAGCTCAGTTTCTAAGAAAAATGTCCTTATTTAACAAGCTTTCTGTGATAAAATAATATCATAACATGAACAATTTTAATAGTTTAACTCCATAACCTAGGTACTAAGCACCTCTTCCCTCATAACTTTTTGCAATATCACCCATTGTTCTTATGTTGCAAGATGTGCTACTTGCCTGGTTGTCTATGGTATAGCTTCCATTAATGTACTGAATGGTATAGCTATTTATCTTTTTGTACATTTTTAGTTTTTGAAGTTCAATTTTTTACTTTCTCTTAACAATTTTACTGTAAATGCTGCCATATGGTGTCTTCCTCATTTCTCAGTCTGTGTGCACCATTTGGTGTTATCTGCATATTGCTTATATCCTTATGAAATGAATACAAATTAATCATACTTTTGTTGATCTAATCCCACTTTCTTAAAACTCCAAAAGTAGTTCTTTAGTTTGGAACTTCAGGATACCCGTTTTTATGGCAGAACAGTTTTTATACCAGATTGTTCAAATAAGAAAAACATAAATACACATACTTTCTTGTCCATGATAATAACTAATTTGACTCTACTTGTTCTTTAAATTTTAAGTTTTCTCCAACTATCTAACTCATTGATAAACTATGAATACAGTTCTGCCGTCCTAACATGAAAGGTCCTATCTGCAAAATTTGGTAAAATGACTTTATTGGCTCACGGCATTTGTAAACCTATTATCTATGTATGTACAAAATGAAATTGTCCTATGAGCGTCGTAAGTGCCTTATTATATACCTAAATGGTTTGTCCTAACTGACTAAAAAGCCATGTTCGCTAACATAAATTGTCCTATCTCACATATACTAAGAAAAATTGTCCGTTTTGACTTTAAAAATGCAGTTGGGACTATTTAAGCTAGTATTTTATACTGAGCGGCATCATTTAGGACAATTTTTGCCTAGTATGATATAAGTATGTGTGTAACATAACTTCAAATAATTAATTAAAAAGGTTATTTGTTATTGTCAGACATTGGGAATACTCTCATGCTTTTTAGTATTTTAAGTAAATATATTGTGAGAAATGGATGAAGGGTAAGTTTAATAATGTTACCTTAGGTATAAGCAATAACTGATCGTAATTATTGTTTGTAGTAGTAGCAAAAAATATAGACGCACATGCGTCTATATTTTCTGGTTGTAGCAATGCAGCATGTCGTAGCCAGAACAGCGATAGGTGTAAACGTATGGTATTTAGCCAAAAGCGAGAATGATCCAGATTATGCACCTGGGACGTCCAATAAATTCGACAATAATATAAATGGAAATGAGTCAGATTCTAGTTTCGAATCTAACTATTATCATTTATGTTACATAATGTATTAGAATGTAAATTGTGTACTAAGTTTTAAAACTTCTTCTTCTTTTTATATAGACATGACTCTGTCTGTTTTTCAATGTACCTCCAGTAAGTTGCCGTTTCATCGTTTTCGTGGTCTTCCTACTGATCTCATCGTTTTCGTGATCTTCCAACTGATTGTCTTCTTATTGGGGAACCGTCTCTTGCCGTATTTACTACTCTATTTGTTGTCATTCGGCTTGTATGATCGTTCCATTCTACTCTTCTATTTCTTACACAGTTCTTAATATTCTTACTTTGTCTGATGTACTTCACCTTGCATATACATTGTATCTCTGTACTCTGTATCTTATCTTAGCTCTATCCCATAGTGTTTTGTCATCAATGTTTCTAAGTGTTTTCATCTCTTCTGTTTCTAACATCCTTTTTGTCCTCTCTGTGTCAGGTCTTGTTTCTGCTGCGTATGCCATTATTGGTCTGATGACTGTTTTGTAAATTTTGTCATTCATTTCTTTTCCGATATTTTTATTTCTTCATATCGTTTCATTCAGGCAGCATGCGGCACTGTTTGCTCTATTCACTTGAACTTCCTTTTCAGTTTTGAGCTTTCTGTAGCTAGATAATATGATGCCTAGATATTTACACTCCATCACTTCTCCTATTATCTTACCTTCCAGCTCCAATTTACATCTTAGTAAATTTGCTGTTGTGCGCATGCATTTTGTCTTTTTTGGGAAAATTAACATTTTTCTGGCGATTATATTAAATTGGTGCAGCTTAAGTTGTAAATCATCTTCACTTTGAGAGATCAGTATTGCGTCGTCTACATACTAGATTATTTTAAGTTGTTTTTCTACCATTTGGTATCCTTTTTTAGTTACTTTTTTTATTATTTCATCCATAATCAGGTTAAATAATAAAGGACTCATAGAATCTACCTGCCTTATCCCATTGCCAGTTACAATAGGGTCGGTTAGTCCTTCTTCTACTTTTACTTTTATTGTGTTTTTTTGGTAGATATTTCTGATCGTTGTGATTATTCCTGGAGGTATCTCTCTTGCGTACAGTAAGTGGATAACGTCTTTTAGTTTAACCCAGTCAAATGCCTTCTTAAGGTTCACGAAACATAGATATGCGTGTTTGTTGTATTCTAATGATTTCTCTTGCATTTGCCTCATTATAAATATAGCGTCGATGCATAATCTTCCCGACCTAAAACCTTGTGGTTCTTCTGCCTGTGTTATAATTTTATTCAGTTTATTTGTTATCACTTTGGTTGTTAATTTTGGTGTTGTGTTTCATAAATTAATTCCCATTCTCTTGGTCTCCATTCTTGAGTAATACTATTTTTTGTTCTATTATTTTATAAAACTTAGTATAATAAAATTAAAAGTGTTCAGTTAATTTGAATTTTAGTTTTATTTAGGACAATTTCAGTAAGTAATACAAAAAAACGTACTTCAGATACACTAACCTAAATTGTCCTAAGTGGCAATTTAATCAAAAATCGACTAATCTGGAAAGAATAAAACAAAATTCTGACTAGCAATTAAATTCTATTCTCTAACATAATATATAAAATAAAACATAAAGACTTCTTTAAATTACCAAGCGTTATACAATGAAAAGAAACAAAAACTTGATTTTCTCAAAACCTAAATTTTGCAGATAGGACCTTTCATGTTAGGACGGCAGAGTTTTAAAATTTTCTTACCAAATATGTCTTTAGATTCATCCATTCTTTCTCTATCTGAAGAATCCACTATGTAAATTACAGCATGGGATTCTTCATAATACTAAAAACAAAATAGAGCAGGGTAATTTGTACTAACATAAAAATTTATGGTAATTATGTTACCTTATCCCAAAGACTCTGCAATTCGTTTTGTCCTCCTAGATCCCAAAAGTTTAATCTTATTCCTCCTACATCTACTTTGCCTATGTTTAAACCTACAGTTGTGGTAATTTTCGTAGGGTGAATTGCTTTATAGTTTTTAGTAAGTTTAGTTTTTGCAGCTTCTAAATAGGTCTGTAAAATTTCAAAAATTGTACTGTTAATAAGAAACATATGAATAAAATTGAATGCTGCTTACCGTTTTACCTGCATTGTCGAGGCCCAAAATTAATACACAATATTCATCTTTCTGTACCATGTGCTTATAAAATCCATAAATTAACGTAAACATCTTTCATACGAATAGTATAATTACATTATTAATATGAAAACTATATACATAGATAATCAGATAAACTTATTTTTGTTTTTTAGTAAACGTCAAATGTTAGATATGATAATAAGTGACAACGTCACTGATTGATTGAAAATTATAAAAAGTAGAATTAAATGGTCTCGGTCTAACGAGGCTCACAGAAATTAAGTTACGGAAATCTCATCGTAGCTGAAAAACTGTTATACAGATCGTAATATTACTTGTTTTAAAACTACTAGCCAACTGGGCTAACTGTTATGATGAGATAAGAATATACCAGTGAAAAAAGTACTTTAAAATCTTCATCTGAAATGTTGGCTGCCTATTTTCGAAAAAATTATTTTTTATTGTCACCAAGTGACATTTCTCTTTGAAACATCTCGTAACCATAGGCGTAGATGATTTGATTATTTACTTTATCACTTTTTATTTATGTTTTCTGCAATCAACTGACTATTTTAAACATACCAACTAAAAATATCATTTCTAAATAATTTTAAAGATACCAACTTTCTTATTTCGCGAACCTACTACATACATAATAAATAATAGAGGCTTGGGTTTCTTTATTTAAAATTGATCTTTAAGTTTAACTATTATAAAACTAACAGATAGAGCTTAAAATACGTGGTTATACGACGAAAGCTGTCATCTTACAATGCATAATTTATGTTATTAATCAATGACATTCCAGGTAGAAAGTAAGCATACATTAAATAAATGATTAGCCACAAAGAGCCCAGCAGTTGGTCGATATCGAAAATGTATTTCTACAAATAAAATGGCGAGACAAATAAAATATTTTCAAAAAATATTCAACAGAACAAAATTGGAAAAAAATAATGTACAGAAATTCATCCACCAAAATTATCTAATGACAGCTACGCCTATGTGTACTCGGCTTATATAAAAACAATTGCAGCTATCTTCCGATAAATCGATTCCAAGCAATTCGAAGTTTTTACGTATGTTCTGTCTGTTCACATTCAAATGTAAAGGTTGAATATTTATTTTTAGATCTTACAAATGCCCGAAATAAGCATGCAAATAAAGGATGTATATCAATGAAAAATCCTTGGTACATTAGGTCTAGTAATTTATTTACCCATAAACATGAATATTCTTCTATTCCCGACAGTTGTTTGTGTATTTTGTTGTGGTTGTGAATGAGAAGTTGTTTGATTGGAGTTATCTACTGTGTTGTGCATGTATAATTATAATCAGAACGATTTAATCAGTCTTAAAAAAGTTTGATAATGTGAATCAAACATCCCTTTTAGGTTAAAAATTATTTATTATGGTGTCGTTAAGATTTAAAAAAGCGTTCTGTGTTATGTACTCTGGATTACTTTTTGTAAGTACCTAAATACTTTTGTTTTAATCTAATAGTGAAAATAAATTCCTTTCCTTAGGTATCCGGAATAGTTCTAATAGCAGTCTCCTCTCTTTTATTATACAGAGTCTTTCATCACTTTGATTATATACCAGGAAGTACAGTTGGCCCTCTGATATTATTAATAATTTTAGGATTTGGGCATATATTTTTAACATGGTTGGGAATCAAAGGTCCAACATTGGAATATACTTTCCATATAATTTTGGTAGGTTAATAAAAATCTTTGTAATTATATGTAGTATAAGGGTACAATTTAAGAATGTGAAAAATTGTTTGCACTTAGCTGAAAAATACGAAACAGCTAAAATTTTAATGTGCTAAAGTGCTATTAAAAGAAGAAATAATTAAATTAAAACAAAAAAATATAAGATATGGAAAACTTTTAACTGGAAGGCTAACAAAATATGTAATTGTCTTAATAAGATCGAAATTAAGCAAAAAATACCAAATATTGTAAATATATCTGATTTTTACTATGGTTCTAAAACATTTTCTTGTACTTGTGGTGCATTGAACTTATGTGAAGTTACCTGGTTCCGGTTCCCAGCCCAGCTGCACCACCACCACCATCTGTTCCGATCACAGAAATTGTATTTCTTACAGTGCTGCCAAATTTATCTCATTTTACCATCAAATGTTTCTTCACTTGATTTTTTAATAATTACACATAAAACAATTGTGCGGAAGTATAGAAAAAATAAATTAAATGATGTTTGATAGGAATATACTTTTTTAATATTTAATATTCGAAATTGAAAAGTCATAAATGACATCGAATTAATAACACTATTGAATTATGTGTTTAAATTTTTGACATTTGCCTTTTTAAAATAATTTCATATGAATACAATAATTATTATTTTTAAACATCTTATCTAGTTTATATATTAATTGAATTTACTATAAAACGATATTTATTTATATTTTATTATTAATTTATTATTTCGTCTGAATTTTGATAGGTCTGTCAGAAGTAAACAACATATGCTTTGTTAATCTTCTTCTTCGGGTGCCATATCCAGAATTATCCGACGTTGGCGATCACCAATGCGAAGGCTTTTCGATTTTCTGAAATTTGGTATATTTGTCCTGCATTTAGTATCTGAGTTAATTCACGAATGTTTTTTAACCAAGAAACTTGTTTTCTTCCTATACCTCTATAGCCCTCCATTTTGCCTTTAAGGATCAATTGCAATATTTTATATCGACTTCCCCCTACTATATGTCTCAGATAAGACATTTAACAGTCTTTAACAGTTCTCTATCTTTGTTGACGCTCCTTAGTACTTCTTCGTTAGTTTTCTTTGCTGTCCAAGATATCTTCAGCATTCGTCTATGAACCCACATTTCCAATGCTTCAATTTTGTTCATGATCGATACTTTTAGCTCCCACACTTCTGCACTATACAAAAGTGCAGACCAAACATAGCACTTACCCATTATTTGCTTTGTTCTGAACTGAGATGATTATTGCAAAGAAATGACTTCATTTTCATAAAAGTAGTTTTAGTCATTGCTATTCTACGTTTTATTTCTATGTCTGGATCTAGTTGGTCCGTTATCACAGTTCCCAAATATGTCATTTTGTGAACTTTCTCAACTTGGACTCCGTTTAATTGAAGCTTTGCATCAGGATGTGGGTCACGACTAAACACTAAAAATTTGGTTTTCTTTGAGTTTATTTTAATGCCCAGTTCACAGTCCACACGATCAAGTAGAATATCGAGACCTGCCATATTATCTGATAGAATTACTTTATCGTCTGCATTTCTAATCACATTAAGTAGTTCCCCGTTGATTTTTATTCCATATATTGTTGTCTCTCAAGTGCCTTTTTAAATAACTGGTCCGAGTAAACATTGAACAATGTTGGCGACAAAATGCAACCTTGTTTGACTCCTCGTTGTATAGAGATTTCATCGATGTAATTATCTCCAATTTTTACGATAGTAGTTCGATTCCAGTACAAATTTTTAATGACACGAATATTCTTGTCATCTATTCTGATATTTTTCAGTATTTGCATCAATTTTACATGCTGTACTTTATCGAATGCTTTTTTCAAGTCGACGAAATATGCAAATACATATTTTCTTTGGTCACGGCATTTTTGTAATACGATGTTAAGCGCAAAAAGTGCTTCCCTGGTTCCCATAGCATTTCTAAAACCAAATTGGGTATCTTTGAGATCTTCTTCGCATTTGCGTCTAATTCTGTTGTGAAGTATTCTGAGAAAAATACGCTCTCTTGATATTACCTTGTCTTTACAAACACGGCAAATTCAAAGTAAAATAAACCACTTCTGGGGTTAAAATAAAACAACAGGTACAGTTGAAAAGAAACTCAGCCACAGAGACTAGGAAACAATACGTAGAGCCCCTAGAGTGCTATACTCTAAGGGAGCCCGAGAAGGACTGACCTGGCTGGCTTGAAAATCACCAATATTTACAAGTGTTTTACTATTTATATGGTTATTATAGTTTATTCGTCTTCCGGGTTTGGACCGTGTCATTTGTGAGTGACCCAAAAGTGGGTTCATCTCGACGTTTCGCTACAATTGTATGTAGCTTCTTCAGGAGAACAAAAAAAGAAAAAGAAAGAAAGAAGAAAACAAAGAACAGGAAGATGGGTAGTTAGCAACGGTAACTCAGTTACTCAACGCAACCAGAGGCGAATACTAACTACCAACTAGTTGGTAGTTAGTATTCGCCTCTGGTTGCGTTGAGTAACTGAGTTACCGTTGCTAACTACCCATCTTCCTGTTCTTTGTTTTCTTCTTTCTTTCTTTTTTCTTTTTTTGTTCTCCTGAAGAAGCTACATACAATTGTAGCGAAACGTCGAGATGAACCCACTTTTGGGTCACTCACAAATGACACGGTCCAAACCCGCAAGACGAATAAACTATAATTCTGACTCTGGCCGTGGAAGCCTACGATTTCATATTTATATGGTATTTACAAATTAACTAGCCAATAAGAAAATTCGAGGCGGAGCGATGCGCATTGGAGTGCGTACTAGTTTTCAGACTATGGCACTCCATGACACTTCTCTGCAGGTGTCTACAGTGGCGCACCCAGAATTTTCCTGTGGTGGAGGGGGGGTTTTGGTTGGGCGGCGAAATTTTTTTATGCTACCTCCACCATTTTAAGTCCTTAACATTTGTGAGTAACAGTATCGGAATAGTGCCCTTGATGGGGGGTTTGACCCCCAAACCCCCCTGGGTGCGCCACTGCGTGTCTATATTTTGTTTTTATAATTAGATTTTATCAGTCTACGTTGTTCAATTAATTTCAAGATGTCGTCTGTCATCCATTTATTTTTCTTAATTAGGTTCTTCTGGATCTTCTAGTTATTCTCCGATGTTTTTCATTCCATTGTTAAGTTCTTGTTTAATGTTTTATGTTTATATCGTCAAAGTTAACTACATTGGTTTTTGGTTTTTGTCGCTGAATTCGTTTTAACCTTAGTTTAATATCTGATACAAGTGGTTGATGATCAGATCCAATATCTGCCCCAGGAAATGTAGTGACTTTTTTGACGGCATTTCGGAAACGATCATTTACAAGTTTATAGTCTATTTGATTTCTTAAAGAGGCAGGGTTACTTCCATCATCAAATGGGACTTTCCAAGTGTATAGTCGTCGCTTGGGTAGTTTATACCAGGTGTTTGCAATGATCATATCGTTTTCTTTACAAAATTCATACAATCTCTGTCCTTGATCGTTAGGTTGTCCTAGACCATAAGGACCTACAATCTGACCTCGTCGACCTTCCCCAATTTTTGCATTAAAGTCACCTATAATATACAAAATTTCGTGTTTATTAAGTTTCTGTAAGATGTCTTGGATCTGATCATACAACGTGCAAGAAATTGTCAAAAGAGGATAATCTACAACATACTTGGGTTCAGAACAGGCCGCAGGAGTGCCAAAAAGCAGTCCGGAACCGGAAAAAAAACCTGAATCCGAACACAACATAACAATTACCCAGAAAGTAGGTATATCCGGTCAATCACATGGTAAAATGCATACTGTACTACGAGAACCAATCAAGAATTTTCTCCAAGTCGTAACTGGATTCCTTATTAGACAGTCAATGAGGTTTCATGGTGACTTCTATGAAACCTCATTGACAGATGAGCTATTTCTATAGCAAAGAACCTTAAACGCATGACCGCGAGGAACTGAATCACACGCGGTTAACATTTTTTGGAGACTACTGAATAACGTCAAAAACATATATCACCAATCCATTAGGTTTGTACAACCTGGTGCAACTATGTGCACTATGCACTAAGCAAGCTGACTGCAGAACGACGGTTTTGTAACAGGCGGCTTCTGAAGAAAAATATCCTTCTATGGATGAAAGAAGGCTTTTATAATTTGAAACAAATGATTTAGGAATAATGGGCAGAATATATTTTAGTAAAACACAATTACTATTTTAATTTTTCCGACTCGAGTAATGGTTAAGGGCAAATAATAATAGAACGGTTATATCGAAGTAATAAACATGTCTTAATGACTTTTAGTACAGTTGACGCTTTGAAAGAATAATTAATTTTTGAAATGTTGTAGGAACTATCTTTTCTCTCTATTGAAAAAATAAATTAGACGTTGAAAGATGTAAATTATATCATGTAATAAAAAACCATTGAGCAGAAGACCTTACTTATTAAGCAAACTTTGATTATAATAAATTTATGTTATGTAGTCCTTAAGACTACTTGCAGAATTATACCTGCACCAGTTTATGAAGCTTAAATTTTTCCAAAACAAGCATATGCTAAATGCTACGTTTGTCCAATGAGAAAACATTCGCATAACTATTCATTTTTGTTATACCTAGTAATCAAAAGCCTTATTGTCTAGAACGCCGAATTCTTAATGTCAAATAATATATTCATTAATAATTAAAATGCCATTATGTTTTGTACAAATTTATAACCAATTAAATGAACAATTAAAAATATACCTACGTAGCTAATATGTATTAGTTTTGCCCTTGTAAAATTTACGATGGATACTTTTGAAATTCATCATAATGCAAAATATCGACCCAAGTATACCATCAAGGTAAAACACCTCAGATATATTACAAATAGACTAGGCGGAATCTGTAGAAATTCAGACTATAATGGACATTTTCCATAGGAAGCTATTTTTTTGCTGGGCTCCCTTTAGGATGTGCCCAGTATCGATAATTACGATATGCGCCAGTCGCAAACCCTGTGCTAAATTTTTTATTTAACAAAATCTGAAAACAATTGAAAATTTCTCATTTTTTTGCTCCTATTTTCGTTTATCATTCGGAAAATATTGATCCTAGAGAAAAAATTATAAGAAGTTATTCGTTATTCAATTTTACACAATATTTCGTTAGCTAGAAATTGAAAATTTAATGTTTATTGTTGAAAAAATAGCAATAATTCGGAAAAAAAAGTACAAAAAAATTGAAGTTAATCCTTTAAATATTTTCGACTTTCTAAACTTGACTAAAAAGTTCCATATTCCGCCTAGAAAAACTTTTTAATATATTTAAAACGTGTGTTAAATTTTGTTAAGATCGGTCGGATAGGTTTTGCATAATAATTTTGCAATCCAGCCTACTGGAAAAAATCGCAAATTTTCAAATTTATAGTAGGCCCTAAATAAGGCCCTCAGATAGTTGTAAATTTTTTTACGTATAAAGGAAGGCTCAAACTTTCAAACGCTTTTTGTAAAATTCAAATCGGTTCACTAGGAGAGCCTAGAGAATTTTTAAAAGTTTTAAACATTTTTTAGGCTTATAAACAAATTGAATAACTTCACGAGCTTTAAACATATCAATTTCAAAATTTATTCACTTAAAGAACATTAAAAGACGCTTCTTTAAAAAAAAAAAAAGATACATTCGGCTTACTGGTTGCCGTGATATTGAAGGTCAAAGTTGGCATACATTTCTCGTGTAACCATAAGTGATAGAGTGCTCGTTTTTAAACAAATACCCTCGTCTTGTCAAGTACTTTTTATATGAAAATTTTTACGTAATGCGCTTCATGTCAACATCCATAAAAAAGATAAATAAAAAACCGTTTTCGCGTAAAATGTCGCTCGGAATGCATGAGAGGTGTGTGGTGGAGGATATTCACTCGAAATGTGATTCGGCGTGTTCAAAATCATAGCGCGCGCTAAAAATTGCAATATCTCGGCTTCTTGTTAACCAATTTTGATCTTTTTTTTTTGGATCGATATCTCGGACGACAAGGATTTCAAATATTATATTTTCAAATACCATTTTTAATTGCAAATTGGGAAATTTGCAAAAAACAATTGTATGTTAATCAAGTAATTGCATTTTTTCCTTATGCATTTTTTTGAGCTTGCAATTTATACATTGAAGTAAATTGTTACTTTTAGTAAACAAATATGTATTTATAAATTGTTAATAAATAATTCGAATTGTTAAAACAAAGACAAACGAAAATTTTTTTTGTAAAAATCAAGATTATTAAAATAATTAACATTTAGAATAATTTATTTCTGCAGTTTTATCATAATAATCTTCAATATATTTTTTTTAAGTTTTTTTCTTTTTTTGGAAGGACAAGAATCTTCAGGTCTTATTTCTTCTTCAAAACCTTCATTTTCCATTTTATTATCTTCATCCTCGATCTGTAAATTTAATGTTTCTTCTACTTTATCTGTAGCTTTATCTTTTGCCTCTAGATAATCTACGGTTTCCATCGACTTCATATCCATATCTCATTCAATTTCTTCCAATATTTTACTGTGTTTAATATTTTTACATGTCTGACCATTGCAGTGAAGACCATGTCAGAACATTTGAGACCATGTTTGATGTACAAAGTTTTTTACATTTGCAACTAATATTTCCGAATAATGAGTCAGGTAGTAATACCTGCTTAGTTTGTATTGGCTCAAGACCATTTTAAGTTAGTTCCCACCCCCACTCACTGCTGTACTTGGAAATATACACGAAGCTAGTGTTGCTCAGCTGCAGATTGTGGCAACATGGACAATTGAAAATTTTTATTTTTGCAACCTATTTTAAAGCACAAGTAGCGAATTTTATTCAATGTAAAATCGCACTTTGAGTGGCCCATATACAATGCCGGTATAATTTTGCATCCGCTGCGTTTAATTTCTTCCTTAGTGGCACTTTTTTAATTAAAAATGGTTGCTTCTTGCGATATATCATTATTTGTTGAAAACAATTTAACAATTTTGCTTTTTCCTTGATAAAAAATGCAGAGGTTTTATCACAACCGGAAAATGCGTGTAAAAAGCCCACAAAATTTTTTGTGCATTATTTAAGTCATAAATTTCTTCCGTTTTTTTTCCTTTGCTAGGTTTCCAGAAAAAAATATTTTTATTTTCAATTACTTTTTGTAAAAATATTACCAAAACATCAATATCCTCTGCAATTATAAAAACTGGCTTGTTATCTTAGGCTAAAAGAATGGCTGTGTCAACTATAAGAGTATCTGCATGTTCATATGCTATAGTGTTAAAACCAATTGTTTCAAGCTTTTACCATAAAATAGTTATAAATTGTTTTTTATTATGCTCATTAGAAAAAAATTTAACTTGAGTCAACAACTCAATCCTGAAGGGATTCCAGCAAAAAAATAGCGTTCTATGTAAAATTTCCAATCCAAAACAGATCCCGCCTAGACTAAAAGTTTTCCAATAAAACGTAGACATACATCCTTAATTTTGAAGCTTGACCTATAATAAGCTAAAAATAAGCTCAACCGTTCTTGTTATCGCATAACCTTGATATTGATTAAATTTTGACCTATTTTTTCTTCTGCAGTTCATAGTTTTTACAAGTATTTTATTAGTAACCGAATTCATAATTGGAGTTTGGACGATGATTTTGAGAGATGGAGCTCCTACTCATTCCGTTGATTTAATGACCGAAGCTTTTAATGAAATGATCAAGGAGCAGTATTACAATAAAGATTTCGCTCGAATGCAGGCAGAGGTTAGTGAAAATTGTATTTTAGATTTAATTTTATTACAGGCAGCGTGGCCGAGCGGTCTAAGGCGCTGGTTTTAGGCACCAGTCCGAAAGGGCGTGGGTTCGAATCCCACCGCTGTCAGCTTTTTTTTTATTTTAAATGTTGCCTTGTACTCAAATATTGTTTAAGTATTATAAATTGGATTAATTATAAAAAATATTTTATATATATATTTCATTCAAGGATAACATTAAGAGTTTTATGTTCAGTATACAATGCATGTTATATTCATACAATTATTGTTTTAGATCGAGTGTTGTGGTTTAGATGGAGCAGCGAATTACGCGAACTACTTTCGTACTGATGATGCTATTAGACTCTCATATATGTCTTGTAAAGACAATAACGTACCCAATAACAATGTAGATTTTGAGCCCTACCCAGATGGTTGTCAAGACGCCTTTCCCGATTATCTCCAATTACTTCTATTGGAAACTGCTTTAATGGGATTTATCTGCACAGGTTTACAGGTACCGTAAAATACTTTACAAATAACATGTTTTATTAAATCGCTTATTATTGATATAGTCGATTAGCGGGAACAGTCAAGTCAATAGGTCAATGTACGAATTAGGAATTGTCAGTTTCTTCTCATTATTAGCTTGTAAATGTATACTTATCTTTAGAACACTATACTCGAACTCGAGCACTAAGATTGTTATTGTTGTAGTCCTTATAACCAGTCTTTCATCATCCTTATCATTGGTGCTACAACCCTATAAAAAAACGTCGACCTTCCCAAGTCTATTAAGCCAGTCAGTTCAGGGGGAATTACACCTGCCTTTTAGATTGTGTCGAATGAGCAGTCTGTTGATTTTGTAGCAAGATGAGCAGTATTTCATCATCACTGCATTTGATTAATTCAGAAGGTATCTCATCTGGGCCCACTGCTTTTACATTCTTTTATTCCTAATAGCTTCTTCTAATACTGGCATTATAATACTCGGTCCTGTCTGTGCCTACAGTTGTTCTTGCAATAATATATGTCCCGATTTTTTGACAGTCTTTCTTACCGAAACTTATAACAACTTAATATTAAAGCATTTTCCACTAAAAAAACAAACAAACTGTTGAAAAAACACGTGTGATTATGATGAACGAACTAAAAAAGTGAAGTCTATGCTGATAGAATTTCAAGATGTTTTTGCCATTGATAAGAAGGATAATTGCAAAACAAGCATATCTCTCTCTCTTCAATCCTGACCCCCCAGGGGGAGTGTAGTGGTCGACGTGATGTCGTGTATTGTCCGTCTCCAGAGATCTCTGTCTCTGGTCATTTCTTTTAATTCATGCATAGGTCTTTGGCATATTCCTGTAATTTGATCTATCCATCTTGTTGGGGATCTTCCTCGTGATCTTCGGCCTTATACCTTTCCTTGTATTATGAGTCTTTCCATGTTTTCTGTGTTTGCGCTCTCATAACATGCCCAAAGTATTTTAATTGTTGGAGATGGACTTCACTAGAGAGTCGTTGGCTAACTTTTAGCTCTCTTAAAATTGAATTATTTGTTCTGCGGTCGGTCCAAGGAATTCGTAACATTCGTCTCCAACAGAACATTTCAGTGGCGTCTATCTTTCTTCTCTCCGATTGTCTCAGAGTCCAAGATTCACATCCGTAGGTCAGTATTGGAAATATTAAGCAGTTGATCAACCTCATCTTGAGGTTGATCAACTGCTTAATATTCCCAATACTGTTGATAATACAATATTAAGCAGTTGATCAACCTCATCACAAACAAGCATAGTAAAGCATAAAATTAATACCGGAGATGCTCAGCCAATCAGATAACAACCTAGACGACTTCCATTTGCAAAAAGAGATGAAGCCGAAGACATCATCAAATATGACATGAACAGACAAGGGGTGATTGAACCATCAAACAGTCCATGGACATCACCAGTAGTGCTAGTAAAGAAGAAAGATGGTTCAACACGTTTTTGTATTGACTACCGACAGCTCAATGCGGTAACTAAAAAAGATAGTTATCCTTTGCCCAGAATAGACGATACTTTGGATACACTTTCTGGTTCTCCACACTCGATCTGAAAAGTGGATATTGGCAAGTAGACAAGGAGCCAGCTGATCGTGAAAAAACCGCATTCTCGATAGGATCAGGGCTTTGGCAGTTCACAGTTATGCCCTTTGGTTTATGTAATGCCCCGGCCACATTTGAAATATTAATGGAGGCAGTTTTAAGAGGTCTAACGTGGAAAACGTGCCTGGTTTATTTGGATGATGTAATTGTAGTTCGAAGATCCTTCGATGAACATACCAATAATCTGACAGAAGTCTTTCAACGATTGCGGGCAGCCAATTTGAAGTTGAGCCCGAAGAAATGTCACTTGTTTCGACGAGAAGTGAAGTACTTGGGACATATTGTAGCAAGTAATGGTGTAACAGCTGATCCTGAAAAACTTACAGCAATTAAGGATTGGCCAGTACCAAGAGATAAACATGAAATTAGAAGTTTTCTTGGCCTATGTACATATTACCGACGTTTTGTTAAAGGATTTGCCAACATCTCCAAGCCATTAACAAAGTTGACAAAAGAAGGCAAAGAATATACATGGAGCGAAGAGTGTCAAAGAGCTTTCGAACACTTACAAATGGCTCTGATCAGCGCACCGATTTTAAGCTACCCTAGACAGGCAGGAAAACTTGTGTTGGACACCGATGCAAGCAACAGTGCAATAGGAGCTGTTCTCTCCCAAATCCAAGATGGGCAGGAGAAAGTCATCGCTTACTTTAGCAAAGTCTTGTCGAAACCAGAAAGAAACTATTGCTTACCAGGAGAGAATTGCTAGGCGTAGTAAAGGCTTGCGAGCATTTCCATAAACACTTGTATGGCAGAAAGTTTCTTCTTCGCACGGATCACGCTGCTCTAAAATGGCGCCTACAATTCCGTAATCCAGAGGGCCAGATGGCAAGATGGTTAGAACGATTACAAGATCGAACACAGGGCTGGAAGAGTTCATTTAAATGCGGATGCGATTTCGAGACGGCCGTGCAGTGAAAATTGTTATCATTGTTAAAAGAATGACTTTGCCCCCTGAGACGAACTACCGTCATTAATGATCAATGGCAGCCACAACACCTACAGAAATTTATCTGGATTATATTCAATTTATTCAATCCAAATTTGATTGAAAGAACAGTAATTTTTATTACTTTATTTTTAAAATAACTTTTTATCGGTCGGCTTAGTTAAGTACCTACATGCTAGTGGTATGAAGCAAAGCTAGTAGGTATATTGTTAAAAATATAAATAGCCTCACCAATTTACATTCCATATCATGTACGATGTTAATTACCTTTTCCGTTCGCCTATTTTTAAATTAGATCTAATTTACAAATGGTTTTTAAAAACCATATTACAATATTTTAAGTATGTACAATATATTAACAAAAATTATTAATAATTATATATAGGAGAGAGTTGTACACAATGAGGCATGGTACACAATAAGACAATCTAATAATTTTTCAAATTTACCGCCAAGATTCAATTCTGCAACCAACAATCACGGAAATGTCATTTTACAGCGCTGGTCAATATATCATCCCTATCGAAGACACTAAAAAATTAAGAAGTATCCCCACCAAGAACACTTAAAAACCCGATAATATGTCAAAACTAGAGGTGTGCTTATTAGTTCTTTTAGACGAACTAGTTCAAGAGAACTATTTCACAAAAATGAACTAGCTCAGTGAACTAGTTCGCGTAAGAACTATTTGTAGAACCGAAATCGAAATCCAACCCTAATATCCAATCCGTTTTCTTCGGTTTTCAGTCAGTCTTTCACTACCGTACGGCGTACAAGTAGTTCGGATTCGGAACCATTTCTTTCGATCGTACGTTTATGTTTAGATGTTCTAAATTATTATATGATTATTTAGTTTTTCTTTATAATAATTTATTTTCTTAATCAATCCCAAAAGATGAGTAACAGATGAAATAGAACTTTTTTATGGGATCATTTAGAGAAAAACGATAAAATCAAAAATCTGCAAAATGTAATTACTGTTCATGTGATATCAGTATTGCAAGTGGTTCACTAGGCAATTTATCAAGACATTTAAGAATGAAACACTCTGCTATCATTCTCAAATATCTCAATGTTGAAAGATACATAGAAAAAGAACCAGAAAAATCAGAAAATACATTTCAAGAACCTCAACCTTCAACGTCAAAATCAGTTTCGCTAGTAGAACAAGCAGGGAAAGATTTATAATTAGCAGTTATAATTTTTAAGAAAAAGCATGCTGCTACTCCCCTTGTTTTTTTCAGGGACTATTTAAATTCCATTCGGAATAAAAAATGATCTCATTCATTCATTATTTTTTTTCTTTAGAAGTTGAGACACAATTTATAATGCAAATCGTTCGCAGTGAACTAGTTCTATGAAAATTGATGAACTAGTTCAATTAGTTCAGTTGAAAGAATCGTTCATTTGAACTATTTCGATGGTGAACTACACATCTCTAGTCAAAACTCCAAGTCAGTAATCATTTGCGAATTCAAGTTCGTTCATCTCCCCTCAAGATTTTAAATGATTTCACACCTGACTTGATAGTTTTGGTACAAACAGGAACCAAAAAAGTGATTCCCTAGAATACTAAACGAATTAAGGTAAGTCTAGGTAAGGTAAACAGCTCAGCAGGAAAACAGAAAAAAATAAACGAAGTGATAGCACTTCATCCGGGGAGAGTGAAAAACTAATCAATTATAATGATTCTTCTGGCGATGAATATGAAAATTTATAGTTAGAAGACGATTATAGCATTGCTGCTAGTAAAGAAATTTCCATTGATAGTTTTGTATTAGCGAAATTTTAAAACAATGTATTTTATGTTTCTAAAATAAATTCTAAACACATTAGACAATAATGAATTTGAGAAGTGTCATTTGTAAGAAAAAAAGGTACGCTTCAAGACTGCTTTAACTTTAGTTGCTGCCGTATCAAGATCAGACGTTGTATCAATTTTACCAAAACCAAAAGACAGACGTAGATCAACAAAACAAGCAATTATTGCAATTTATTTCACATTTGATGTAAAGTTTGACAGTATTAAGCTCCGTTAAAAATTTCTTTCATATTGATGACTGGTTAACCCAGTTTGTAGACAGATGCTAATTTCAAAAATAAAAATGTATTTTTTTGTATACTCTCATTGTGTAATACCCTCCCCTAGTCCCCATTTCAACCATATAATACACACAAAATATATATTCTGTGACAAAGCTACTCCTAAGCAACATATACCTCTACGAATTTACTTATAGTATTGTAAATTCTTCTTGTGTTGTCCTTGTTGTCCCATAGAATGGTATTAAGTTGTAAGGTAGCTCTCTTACCCTGAGCAGTCCTGTGTCTAGTATCTTCGTCTAATGTATCGTTGCTTGTAATATGCAAACCAAGGTAATTATATTCCTCACATTGTTTAGTTTGCTGTAAATGTTCTAGCTGTAGGTCCTGCTGTTTTTTTCCAATATACTGTATTTAGTTTTTCCATATTCACTTCGACACACCATTCTTTATATTCTTGTATAGGTTTTCGTATATACTCTAGATCAGGGGTGCTCAAACTTGAACTGCTGGCGATCTACCTCAATTTTGTTAGACTACTTACGATCGACTCTGAGAGACTACAAGTGTGTGTGATGCAGGGTTGTCGTATATACACGATACACCCTACCTACCTAGGTAGGGCGTACCGTAGCATATATAGATATTAGCTTTCTGCACAATATAGGTACATTATTTTAGTCAAGGTTTGGGTTAGGTTTAGTTAGGTTCTTCTCTACAATATCAATGAAAAAACTCATAGTTATTCAAAATTACGAGTTTATTTGTTGTTACAAAACAAAAGAGTTACATATGGTGTTAAACTTAACTAAGGAGTGGCTTTAAGATGTTGAAGCGTAGCACTGCATGTCCTTAGCATACTTTTCATAAGACGGTACGTAACCACTGAGTGCTAATCGCAAGCATGATGTCATGTGATCGTCAGTTAGTCGATTGCGATATTTTGACTTAATTATCTTCATTTCAGAAAATGCAGACTTGCACAAGTAAGTTGACCCAAAAAATGCCGTCAGTTGAAGGGCGATATGCCTTACATTCGGATATTTATCTTCAGATATAAAACGCCAGAAATTTGTATCAGATACTGTAGCTTTGAGATGTATATCTGATATAATCCGCACCAACTCATTTTCAACAGAACATGAGTTCATATTAAACTGACTTGCTATTTCAGTAGCTAATTCCTCAATTTTTTTACATGAAAAAGGATAACTCATAAATGATGCTATATTTTCCAATTTACTGCAATCATAAAAACGCATTTCGAATTGCCCCAAAATATTTGATAATTCAGCCTCATACGTATCATAATTGAACTGAGGAATCCTTGCTTTCAAAGACGGAAAATGTTTTAGATCTTTTCTTTTCAGTTGATCTATCATAAGTTGCAATTTACTTTTGAATGCGTTTATTGCGCTAATCATCTCAATATGTAATAGTTTTTCCTTTACCTTGAAGCTCCAAGTTAACGGTGTTTAAGTGCATTGTGATGTCAGTCAAAAATGCCAAATCATTTAGCATTTTTCGTTTTTCAAAATCTGAGTGTCATCACCTCTTTCGTCTAGAAAAGCTGTTATTTCGGGCAATAATTCTTGAAACCTTTCTAGGAATTTTCCGCGACTCAACCACCTGACGTGCATGTGAAGAACTAAATCGGTGTGTTCAGCTGACTCCCTATCTTCCAACTGCAACTGAAAGAGCCGCCGTTGCAAGCTACGCTAAAAAAATGAAGGGAATTCTTCATTAGCTCGACACAATGCCACAAAACCGTTTTTGTTTCCAGTCATTGCTGGTGCTCCATCGGTTGTAATGCACATTAATTTATATATTGGTAGTTCGTAGTTTTTTACAAAATTTAAGAAAACGTCATATATATCTTCGCCACGGGTCTTCTCCTTCAGAGGAATGATTGTCAAAAATTCTTCCTTAGCCAACATGTCATTAAATACCATCCGAATAAAAATACACAGCTGGACAGTGTCTGCCATATTGATGGATTCGTCGAACTGTAAAGAAAAGTATGTACATTCCATGATATCATGTTTTAGTTTATCTGCGATGTCTTTACTCATGACTTCAATACGCCTTGTGACAGTCGGACGAGATAACTGAAGTTCTCTAATAGCAGACATGATTTCTGTTTTATTTTTAAAATCTCCAAATAAAGTCTCACCCGCTTCAATAAATGCTTCCTTCACCACCGATCCATCTTCAAATGGTTTCTTGTGTTTCGCCAAAATATGAGATATTTTAAATGACGCGATCGTAGCAGCTTTTGATTGTTTGGCTGGTCTTGTGAACATGGATTGTTCTTTTTTCAAACAAGATATCAAATCACTTACTTTTCGTTTTCTTAATTCACTCTGTGGCGGAAAATCCTTTTCATAGTTTTTATGAACCGTTTTATGATGCCTCTCTAAGTTACCACGCTTAGGTATTGCAACTGTCGCACGACAAATAACACAAATGCACTTATCCTTCACCATAGAAAAGAAAAATTCTTCCTCCCAATCCTTATTAAAATGATACGTTTTAGATTTCTTCACTGCACTCATTGTCCACTATTTAATAATAAACTTTGTATCGACGTAGGATCGCTATCAAGTTACAATTCAGAATAACTTCAATTCCTGCAGGCGCAACATTTATATCGGCGTGAACGAAAGTCTCGAATGTTCCCGTCAAACGCGCCGCCCGAAACTAGACTGTACTGTCTCTCGTCTAGAAACAACACGGCTTTTCTTTGACAAGTGCCGCGCGTTCCTTTGATAAAGCCACCTTTTGCCGCAAGCAGTGTTATTTTATTACGTAATACATTTTTGTAGTTGATAGAATATCATCCCAAATTTGATTAATAATTATAATAAATATTGAATTAATAAAATAATTAGTTAATATATGTAAATATAAAATATGCTGTGTGGACAGTATTTTGTTGTCCCCACTTCTTTGAATTGCAATGATGCTTAGTCAAGCATTCTATGTATTTGTATAGTTCAGTATTAATAAAAACGTTTAACTCTGCTGACAGTAGTTTAGTTACCTACCTACTTATTAAAATTTTTTTTGCTTCTCGAGATCTACCCAAAAAGCACTCGCGATCGACCAGTCGATCGCGATCGACCGTTTGAGCACCCCTGCTCTAGATCTTCATATTCTTGTACCAACACTATCTGATCCTCTGCATAACACAGAGTGTAAAGTTCGGTTTTTTTCAGGGAATTTCCATCCTATAGCATTTCCTTTTCCATTTTCTTGAGAATCTCTATAAGTTTATTTTGAAAAGTGTGGGGGACAGGCACCATCTTTGCTTTAACCCTTTGGTAACTGTGAAATCTTGCGTTATCTATCGCTAACATTAATTTTGACCTCAGTATCTAAAGACATCTATTCTTTTTTTTTGTTTTAGAGTTTTAGACTTCATTGTCCGACTTTCACTGCCATTCAGCAAGACAAAGAAAAAACATCTTAATATCATTCGTATTGTAAGCTCTAGACTAAGGTCCCAACTTGTAAACAATGTTTTTATCTTCATGAGTGTTTTCGTCGCTTGTTCGATTCTTGATGGGATTTATTTTTTGCGTTACACTGGCTGTTGATATTTGAAATATTATTTTTGGTCTCTTTCTGTGTTTACCTCTCATTTCAATGGTCTTTAATGCAATGTGTTTCACAGTTTCCGGATGATTGATGATGAGTTGTTTCCCTTCAATGGCTGGATTATTTGTTTGTTTTTGCTATATTCTTATTGCACGAGAAGTTAGAATAAGGATTCTCACTCCCGTCAGAACCTTGTTTACAGGAAGAATGCTAAGGAAACGTCATAGAATTAAAGATCACGACCAAACATTAATAGCCACCAACCATGACAAGATCTAACGACCCTCGAAGAGGCAATTCTTTGATAAATACTTTAAGTAAACACCTTAAACGTGCGATATATTTCTTCTCAAGTTTCTTACCAAGCTGTTGTAAAGATGAATTCCTTAGGAATGTGTTGTATTGTATTTGTTGATGATCATTATGATATTTAGTAATAATATTCTTATGACTTTACAGGCCTTCGGACTTTACGTCATTTGTTCCTTCAACAGAAGTTTGAAAGAAGAACGTTCAAGGAGAGCACGGCAAAGAGCAGAGCTACAACGACAACTGTCAGCACAAAGCCAACAATCCCAAACACTACTACCACAACCTGAAATAGGTGAGGTAGGAATGGTACCACCACCAATAGGTATATCTCATTTGGCGTCATCACCAGAAAATGAACCCATGCGACCTCCACGCGAACGACCCTCTGCACCAGATGTACCAGCAGATCCAGAAAAAGTATAAACGTTGATAATTTATGCTAGTGTCTACATAACTATGATCAGTTATTCGTCTTTAAGATTGTTAATTTAAATTCTATTTTCTTTACAAGTCTGCGTCCAAATTTATTTTGATTATTTGCTTTAGGTAGTACACGCAGCTTGAACAGTTAATGGAAAAAAAGTTAATCTGTTTAGATTGTTAGAAATTTGATCAAACTTCGTAGACTGATGCGATTGAGGCTGCCTGGTCTCGCTACTAGAATCTCAGCTTGTTTTTATCACTTGATCTTTTTCGATACCCTTTTGCTGTCTTCTCTACCCAAATGTACTACTTAGCCCATGAGGATCACCTGACAATGTGAACACATATAGGCATGCACCATCACCAGTTTCTGTCTAGATGCAAGCATACCTGCTTGTTAAAACGTAGGTTTGAGGGTCAAGAGAAATTGTCTAAGATCTTTAATCCTTTATGAAAATATCCAGCCTCAGCAGCTACTTTCGAGAGCAAACTAACTGTTATTCACACTATTTTTCCATCTAAGGGAAAAATTGGAAAACTCTATCCCGAAACATAGTACTTCTTGTAGCCCCAACCCCCAATTCTCAAGTATTCCATGGGTACTCCCATAATCTAGCTCACCAATTCAGTATATCATTGGCTATCGATATCTGACACTTCAGTCCTATATTAAGTCTCAAGTGTTGAAAATCCTAGAATAGTTTCAAGGCTAACGGAAGGGTAGTTCCCATGTAGTTTGCAATCGACAGATTTAAATATTTTCAGTTTCTTGGACAATTTAAAAGTTTATTGGCCTTAAAATAAAAAAGTAGTTAAGAATATTGCCAACATATGATATAAAAGAAAGAAGATGATATTTTTATCTTTCTAATGTAGACACTAGGTCAATTATTATTAAAAAAGAAAAGACTTTTATATGCCAGCCACCCAATTAATACAAATTTGCATCTAAGGAGAGGTAAACATTTAATATTTCTACCTTTGAATGACCTACTGCCTACTTCATTTTGGTTGGTTGGCATATATTTTTATTCTTATGGTTTTTACTGGTATTTTTTATTCTTTAAACTGCACCATGACAAAACAATTACCATTCGGTATGAAATTATGAATATATATAAGATATACGAGTTGATTACTTACATATATGTATTTGTCAATGTAAATATATCAACTTATCATCCGTTAGCTCAGTCGATTAGAAAGTGATAAGTAATTTATTAATTTATTTTGGTTCGGTTCAAGGTTACTTTAAGATAATCACACAATAAACGTAAATCTTTTAAATTATTTAAAGAGTTGCATTGCATTTGAAAAATATATGTTGCAATTTCAGAAGAAAATCGGCACAAGGCAATTCTCTTACATCAGAGTTAAAATTAAAATGAATGTCATTTTTGTTTTAACTTAATTTTGCATAATTTTTATTTAGAAGAGTGTTACTCTTGTGGATCTAATTCCCTTATTTATGCACTGCCAGAGAGCAGTTCTGTCTAAATAGTTGAGTACAGCTTGGCAAATTTATTATTATGTCTGCACCATGCAAACCTGTTCCAGCTATTACACAAGCTTGCTTATTCACAAGGTCATCCCTTGCAGAGACAAAAAATAACGACTGTTAAGGCCGTATGACACTATACATTTTCTCGTATCATTTCTTATATCGTTTCTGATATAACAAAAAATGGATAGTGTCATACAAGCGTATAGTTTCTTATATCAGAAACGATACAAGAATTTGTGTCCGCTGCATTTTCTTGTACAAGAAATGCGCCAATTTGTGCGCAAAGCCGCAAAAACGTAAAACTTCTGTCTTCTGTCATATTGGGGGCTGGAGGAGATATACAATTAGACCAAGCAGACATCAGAGAAAAGTGCCCACCAACAATAACCAAGATTAGAACATCAGTAGCCAAATTGAAAAACAATAAATCACAGGGATTGGATCAAATAGCATCGGAACTACTGAAAGTAGGAGATGTTTTACTAAAAACAATACATAACCACTCTAAAAATTCGTGATGATTTTAAAGTTTATTTTATATCTCCAAATAAGAGAGTAGAATTTCAAGAGCATGCCATTCAAACACATAATTTAAAAAAAAACAAATAAATTATTACAACCAAATTATTTATTATTTCTATCTTCCATTACAGCCTGTTGAATATCTTCAAAAATTGTGGTTTCCAATTTAGTTTTAATATTGGGACATTTTATTTCTTTCATTTATGCACCATAGTATTTTAAAAAATAATCAGTAGCATATGTCCTCAGTCCCCAGTAGCTTGGGGTCCTCAGGTCTCTCTCTCTTCAATCCTGACCCCCCAGGGGGAGTGTAGTGGTCGACGTGATGTCGGGTATTGTCCGTCTCCAGAGATCTCTGTCTCTGGTCATTTCTTTTAATTCATGCATAGGTCTTTGGCATATTCCTGTAATTTGATCTATCCATCTTATTGGGGATCTTCCTCGTGATTTTGGCCTTCTACCTTTCCTTGTATTATGAGTCTTTCTGTGTTTGCTCTCATAACATGCCCAAAATATTTTAATTGTTGGAGATGGACTTTACTAGAGAGTCGTTGGCTAACTTTTAGCTCTCTTAAAATTGAATTATTTGTTCTACGGTCGGTCCAAGGAATTCGTAACATTCGTTTCCAACAGAACATTTCAGTGGCGTCTATATTTCTTCTCTCCGATTGTCTCAGAGTCCAAGATTCACATCCGTAGGTCAGTATTGGGAATATTAAGCAGTTGATCAACCTCATGTCTATCGCTCTTGAAATTTGACAGTCCTTCCATATTTTGGTCATTTTTGCTGTGGCAACTTTTGCTAGATCACATCTACGTTTAATCTCTTCTTGTAATGACCCTGTGTTTGTGATTAATGATCCCAGATATAAGTATAAGCTAACAACCTCGAACTGGTCAATTGTGGTTATGTGTGGATGATTGTTGTGTAGTCTATCCACTATCATGATCTTTGTCTTTGATATGTTTAATTGCAGATTAAATATTTGACTTTCGTTTTCGATCAGTCGTATAAGTTCTATCAGCTCTGCTTGACTATTTGCAAGAAGGGCTGTGTCATCTGCGAAACGTAGGTTGTTTCGTTTATGACCATTTATTGAGATGCCCTTTTCCCATCCTTCAAGTGCTCTTCGCATAATATACTCCCCATATATGTTGAATAATTGTGGAGATAGTATACATCCTTGACTGACACCCCGTTCTGGATGAAATTCGTTCGAAAGTGTGTCAAGTACTTTAACTGATCCAGTAGTGTGTTCATATAGTTCGGTTATAAGCGTAATTAGATGTTGTGGTACGCCTACTTCTTTTAGTATTCGCCATAAGTGTCTCCACTTGACCCTGTCGAACACTTTACGGTAATCTATAAAACAGATGTATAGTGGGATGTTGAATTCCCTAGATTTCTCGATTATCTGTCTTATATTCAGCAGGTGTTCTCGAGTGCCTCTACCTTTGGTAAATCCAGTTTGCTCTTGTGGTAGATTTGTCCCCAGTAGCTTGGGGTCCTCAGGTACTGCAGTTCTATTCTTATAGGTGTCAAAATTTCAACCAATCATGTGCCAAATCACATACAATTTCCGGTAAAAGAACTTGCATAGTGTCATACAGGGCAAAAATGTACGTGCAAGAAACGACACAACAAAACATAAATAACTTTCTATATCAGAAACAATGTAAGAAATGATACAAGAAAATGCATAGTGTCATACGGCCTTTAGTAAATAAATAAAAAATTGTAGGTAGACATTAGAAATAAATAGGTACTTCAAAAAAATATCTACTCTGTATAAGGCCCTAAATATTATTAATTAAAATGAACAGATCGAGACAGTATACTACACACCAGAATAGTTGACGAAGAAGTGAAGTAAAGAAGAATATAATTTTAGTATCATCTATAATCCCGTAGAATATCCGTTGAAATTCATTGCCTTATTTTTTTTGCACATGCGATGACCTCTTAATATAGGGGAAGGGTGGGCAAAGTGGTCATGCTAAGAAATATTTTTTTATCTTGAAGAAAATAATAAGAAAATAATAATAAGGCAATTTTAATTTTCACTTTATCTTGGTAAATTTTTTAGATACATATTTTTAACAAATGGCCACTTTGCCTTGCGGGGTGGTAGCCACTTTGCCCGATGTAAAATATAAAATTTAAACTTAATTTGTGTACTAAATGAAAGTGTATTTTCAAAATAAAAACAATGCCATCGTAGAAAAAGAAAGTTTCACACCGAGTTTATTTACAAACGTCGCAAATAAAGTCATTGTCTTCTTCTTCACATCTAGCACAAACTTCATGTACCCTTCGTAAACAGCCCGAACACTTTATTCATCCTTCATTTTCCCTTGACTTTTTCACTTACGTCACGATTTTGATTACGTTTTTTGCTTTTATTTAAATTTTTCTGTGCAGTACTAGCTTTAATTTCTTAAGCCTTTACTTTTCTTTTCTGCCTTTGCAGCTACTAATTCCATCTTGAAAGGGCTTGAGATCAAAACTGCAGTTGTTCCTTTTTTTCGCTTATTTTCTCGTTTGATAATATTTGCTTTAGGGATTAGAACAATATCCTGTGGACTTGCAGCAAAAGTATAGTGCCCCTTGCCTTTGGAGTTGCTGATTAAATCACATGAAATACTGAAATAAGGCAGTGGACTGGGCTGGAATGTTAAAGTACTTGGGGGGGGGGTGCAAACTACAGTTGTGTGATGTTCTCTAGGCTAGATTTTTTGTATGGGTGGGATGTCCATAATTTATAAACGTTACGAAACTGCAACACGTTTATCTCATGATTTCAGGCCGAATGGTATTTAAATATTTAATTAGTTTGTGTGTTTTTGATATATTTATATTTGTGATTTACAAGAATATAATTGATACTTATTTAAACTGTTGTATTAAGCTCTATACGTGTTAAAATCTTATACCATATGTTTTTTAAAAAAAGTAGTTTCATTTAAAAACTTA